AAACTTGCCAAGTTCAACTTCCAAGTTCCAACTTCAAGTCTTCCTATTTGTTTTCTCTGCCTGGTATATCAGCAGACATGGTCTTCACTTCACACATGATGTATGCAGTTAGTCTCCTAACAATTCTCTCCAAAATATTCAGCTCCTGTCATTTTTCTTCAAGGAGCTCATTGTTGTCTGCAATTACAGCAGGAGTTATTGTTTTTTCACTTGTGAATTGCCTGCTTCCACCACAGGTGAAAGCTCCACTTGGACTAATACCTTGTTTTCCTGGGTTACAAATGGATCCCTGGAGCCTAGAAGTGCTTGGGACATGGTTTATCTCAAAATATATCTGATGAACAAAAGAGTGACACTTTGGGCTGAATATTTACGTGCCCAGACAACTAGAGATATCTTGTACTCCCAAGTGGTGAAACTACTCAACATAGTCCACCCCTGAACTCTGGTTCCTCTGTATTGCCTTTTGTTTTCCATGGAAATCACAATAAAAATTCTTGTCCACCTTCCCTCTCTCTTTTTCTGCTGGTAGCCCATGTTGCATGGTGAATAACGAACTCTGTTTTCAATAGCAGTAGTCTCCTGAACTGTTGGCTTCCCCATATGTGAATAATAATAACAACCTATATTTTAAAATTCTTTGAGGAAGGTATTTATGATCTGGGGTATGAGTGTCTTGGCTTCAAAAAAACTAGCTGACTCTATCAGTCAACAATTTCAGTCTTGTTCTCAAGTAGATGAGGCTGTGCAGCCTCAAACAGGCTGTTTAGTCAGAAACCTCAGAATGGTATCTCCATGTTTTTATCTCTCAAGAGTTCAGATGCAGAATTGCCTATTCTTCCAGAAATATTATCACTGAGGTGCCCTGTCAGCTGCTGGGGACATTGGTGGTAGGACATCTTAATTAGTTACTTTCCATAACTACTCCATCTCAAAGGTACAAGATTTCTCTTTTACAAACATTGAAAGATCTGGACAAGCAGTGGATCACATTTTAATGAGACAGTTAGAAAATGCATGGAGTTTTATACTTTGTAAGAACAGAAGAGGGAAAGAATGAAGAATTCAGTGTAGGGAGGGAGTCTCTTGTTCTCCAGAAGTAAAATAAACCAGTAGATGGAAGATTCTTTCTCTCTCTCTCTCCACCCCAGTCTTGCCCCCATCTCCCTCTGACTTTCAAATAAATAAATACTTGTTTTTTCTTAAAAAAAGATTATTACCTTAAACTAATCAGAGATTCAGGCCAACTAGACTGATAGTGAATCAACTTAAAATGAAACCACATTTCTTTCTTTACTTGCCTGAATCCATTCTTATGTTAACCTGCAAGTGTTTTGGCCAGGATCCCAGTGGTTTCCTATGAGGAATACACTCCCCACCCCCACTGCTGCCAAGTTTGAGTTTGCTTTATTGATGCCACAGAGTGATACCGCCTTGGAAGTAGCTATAAATCCAGGATGAATTTGTAAAATTTGTAAAACATGCAGCTAGTGTGAACAAGTGATGATAGCATTTCTCATGAGACCATCTTTTCAAGGTAGCATAGAGGAGTTTCATTTTAAAAGAAATATGTGAGTGTCTGTATTTTGAAAACATACTTTATACTACACTGTAGCATCTATTTTGTTCAGTGGTTTCTGTACATGGACTAGAATATGAATCCTTTGCTCAAAGAAGAGACTCTAGATTTGTGACAAAATTTCCTTCTGAAACCAATATCCTTAGGTGAAAAAAGTTCTTAGGTATGTATCTAAGCCTGTAAAACATCTTATTCTGTGCATGTAATGATGCGATAAGAATCAAAATTTCCCAAATTCAAATGCAACTGATGGAGTTTCAATATAACCTTGGCAAGAGGGGTTCATATTTGTGGGACAATAGTTTCCATAAAGAATCCCACTGTTGTGAAGTATGGAAATGAGCAACATCCAAGAAAAAAACAGTGTGCATTGCTCCCTTCTGTTCTACTTCTGACGGAAACAAGGAAATAACTGGGGATTTTTCTTATGATTAGTTTCATGTGCAAATGCCTAGCAATTGAAAATTGATTATGTAAAATGGATAAAAAGCAGGTCACCTGTGAATTGACAAGGGGCTTGAAGGCATATTTCTTAGTACTGATATGTTGCCACCGTATGGAAAAGTGTGATTAAATTTAGGAAACACAGGTCTGAAATGCATTCCATTCTCCTTTAGAGATATTTTGGGCTGTGGGAAGAAGCTGGGAGAGAGAATGATAGCACAGATCTTGCAATAAGGGCTGACTTCTGAGGCAACACAGGTAGAGTACCTGTGGGCTACTTTTGGGTGGACTCCTTTGGGCCTCTTAGCTTCTCTCATGTTCATGTGTACCAGAGTGATAGAGACTTTACATGGAGCAAGAGGATTCCTCTCTTGGGGCAGCCTCTACCTGAGGACTGGCCTCTTGCTAGGGCACTGTTGCTGACTCAGAGGGGCCTGCACATCTGCATTCGCTGCTGTACAAATTTTCCTTCCAGGATTCAGCTCACAGGGCAGATGAAGATTCACAACACACACACACACACACACACACACACACACGAGCCCTCATTATTATGTTCTGGGGAGTGCTTTAGAGAACTCTGGCCTATCCCACCACCAGATGTCTCTCCTGTGTCTGAAGGCCAGGGTCATCTTTCAAGCTTGTGTCTGAAGTCAAACTGGGCCTGGCTCTAATCTGATTGGTGAGAGATTCAGCACTACTGCACATACTGGTCTGTTTTTAGAGACTTTTCTCTAAATGGTGCCATGGAAAAATAAGGCATGTTTCTGAGTTTTTTTAAAGTTATTTTTAACTGAAAGAGACTCATTTGTCTTTATTTTCAAGCGATAACAAATACAGTCATTTCAGTAAGTTTTGCCGCAAAGCATCCTCTGTGTTGAAGACTTAGTTTTTGTCTACTGTGTAAACTAGCAAGTCTTCAAGTCTTGGTTTATATGCTGCCCCTTTCTGACCCCTCAAGTATGGGCTCGATGTCCTTCCTGTATGCACCTGTAGCATCTAGCAATTAACCCATCTGTGACAACTCTTTATTGGCCTGCAAATTACAATTACCTGTTTTCTTTTATGAATTTGTATTTATTTTCATTTTATTTGAGGAAAAAGCAGATATTCCATCAGCTGATTCACTCCCTATATGTCTGCAACAGCTGCCGCTGGGCCAGGCTGAAACCAGACACCCAGAAATCAATCTAGGTTTCTCATGTGGATAGCAACGACCCAAGTACTTGAACTACCACCTGCTGTCTCCCTGGGTGTGCACTAGTAGGAAGCTGGATGGGAAGTGGAGGAGCCAGTACTCAAACCAGGAACTCTGTTATGGGATGTAGGGGTCCCAAGTGGTGAATTTACTACTGCACCAAACTCCTGTTTCTACTTGTTTTCTTGAACATTCTCCTCCCTCTAAAACAAATGTTAAGCTCTTTAAGGACTAACTATATAGACTGAAAACAAAAGGACTCTCTGGCCTGACTGTGCCTTTGGAGTGGGCTCTGCAGCTGGGCCCCATTCCTCTGAGTTTCTCCCAGTGTGCTTTTCAGCAGTGCTATTCTCCAATATTCTGGTTGTCTCCCAGTCCTGGCAGGACTGTGCTCTCCTGTACACTAGCCACCTAGATGTGGCCTGTGACTTCCCTGGGTGACAGCAGATGAGGGAATTATGTGGTGTGACTTCTAAGCAAAAGCCTTCAGAGCCAGTTTGTGTATCTCACACTCTTCCTTTCTTACCAGCTGGGTTCCCACGTGGCTGTCAAGGACTGAAGCACGTGGGTTATCTTCCACTGCTTTTCCCAGGCCATTCGCAGGGAGCTGGGTCTGAAAGGAGGCAGCCAGGAAACAAACTGGTGCCCACATGTGATGCGGAATTGCAGGCAGCAGCTTTACCTGCTAGGCCACAATGCTGGCCCCAAGCAAAGGTCCTGAAGGAAGCTTCGTCATAATGTGGAGCAAAGCCCTCAGCCAGCTCTTAAGGCTAAAACATGTGGTGTAGTGATTAAGGAGCCATTTGGGGTGCTCACGTCCCACCAGTGCCTGGGTTGATTTCCCAGCTCCACTCCTGATTCTAGCTTCCTGTTAATGTGCACTGTGGAAGGTAGCAAGTGATGGCTAAAGCTCTTGGTCCCTGCTGCCCACCTGAAAGACCTGAATTAAATTCCTGGCTTCCAGTTTGGTCTGGCCCAGCCCCTGCTGTTTTGGGTATGTGAAGAGGGAACGAGTGGATAGAGAGTCAGTCTCTCTCTCTCGCTTGCTTTAAAACTAAATAAATGAAAAGTTAAAAAACCCTAAATGATACATACCTAAATAAGAAAGATATCTGTTGTTTTTTGATTTTTTTCTTTTTAAATTTTAAAATTTATTATATATGGGTGAATTGTCCATCTTTCCATTTGATTATTGTTTATAGGTCTTGCCTAAATTCCCACTGAAGTAAGGCCTTTTTACTTTTAACCTGTTGAAATTTTTATTAAGTGGAGCATTAAGCCCTTGACTGTGATGTAAATTAAAAATATGTTATCTCAAAAACTAAAAGATAAAGGAAATATATTTTTAGAATTGTTAAAAGAAATACATGGAAGATTAAAAAAAGAAATTGATCTTTTTTTTAAGCTACTGAGATTTTGGAATTTTCTATTTCTATATCTTCACCTGGGCTGCTCTGACTAATAAACCAAAAATATGGGATTTTTCTGTGATGTCAACTTTTGGTTGCTGATGGTCACTTAGAGCACTGAACTAGGAATACTTTGATTTTTATGTCTCTACCAGCATAATATAGGACAATGAAACCTATTGCTGACCTCAGTTTATTCTATGCTGATGAGCACATTTTGTAACAGCTATTTCCCCTTTCTTCCTCATGACCTATACGTGTGGCTCCAGCTGCTTGCTATGCACCGGCATAACTGTGTTAGAATTCCAAGGAAGGGGCCTTCATCACAGTATTATGAGGTAAGCTACCACCTCCAATGCCAGTATCCCATACTGAAGCACTAACTCAGACCCTAACTGCTCCATTTCTAATCTAACTCCCTGCTAATGAGCCTGAGAAAGCAGCAAAAGATGGCCTAAGTACTTAGGCCCCTGCCACCCATGTGGGAGACCTGGATGGCATTTCAGGCTCCCTACTTCATCCTGGCCAAACCCTGGCATTGTAGCCATTTGAGGAGTGATCAGCAGATGGAAGAGTCTTTGTGTCTCTCCTCTCTCTGTCATTTCACCTTTCAAATAGAGTAAGTATTTAAAAAATTTTAAGGGGAAAATAATTTAAAGGTAAAGCAAAATAAAATAAGTAATTTCCTAACGGTCCTTGGGTGAATTGCGGCTCTGACACTAGTGCCCAATCTTCCAATCAAACATCCTTTCACATTGGATTGTTGTTTATTAACAGGGAAGCCAATGAGGTTCTCTATTTGAAAGATGGGTTTTATCTTGAGAAAAAGTAGAAGCAATGATTTTTTCTTTGTCTCCAAGAATGTACATGCTCTCATAACACTCTTGGTTGACTTATGAAGTCATTAATTAGTATTTAAATTTAGATGACAATATAGATATTAATCAAAGTACTTGTTTTATACCAGATTTATGCTTTTTCACCTTGATTTGACACTTATATGTCTAAGAAAGTATAACATTTTATGTCCGATCCTGAGGTGCATGCTGGATGGTACTGAGTCATTCAATTGTCACTTCTTTGAGCTTGCTGGTCTGTTCTTTTTCAGGTTCTCAAGGTAGTATTTTCCACTTTCTACTAATTAAATCATCTTAATATATACTAAATTGATCTGCTGTATATAAAGATAATTGAAAATGAATCTTGATGTGAATGGGATGGGAGAGGGAGTGGGAGAAGGGATGGTTGTGGGTGGGAGGGAGGTTATGGGAGGAAAAGCCGCTATAATCCAAAAGTTGTACTTTGGAAATTTATATTTATTAAATAAAAGTTAAAAAAATAAAAAAAATCAGTGGGCATCCTCTGTTAATTTTTCTTAATTCTTAATTTTATAGCTATCTCGTCTTCCTCATCCACTCCTCACTGCTGTAGTACCAGGGTATGTCCTTAGTATTTCTTCCCTGCACCACTAAGGGAATCTACTAACTGGAATCCTTCTTTTGTTACCTGTCACTTGTGTAACTACTGTTCACTGAGTGCTCACACTGTACAAAACATCAAACCAAGGGATGCATATGTTGTCTCTCTTAATCCTCATAGCAACCACTTTTTATTTAGGCCCCATATAACTTGGATCCTTTCCCAGTCCTGCTTCAGTCATTTTTTTCTTAGAGTAGATCCTGTGACTATAAATATCTAGGGAAAGTAGGAATAGGAAAAATATGGCCCAGAGCAAGTTCCCTCATTTTATTTTATGAGAGACAGAGGTAATAGACTGCTCTGGGTTTCTTGGGATGATGCTTGAACCCAAAGTGTAGATTTTTGAAAATAGCTTTTTTGAATGTGATTTTATAATTCTGTGCCCAAACCATAGCCAACAGTGAGTTCCAGTTTACATATGTTTGAGACTCATAGGCATGTTCTAGCCATGATACTTTCCACTTTCCCCACTACCCAGCTCTCCAGATCCTTTTGCAGAAAGTTGGCTTCCCTTCTGTAGTCCAAGCCAGCTGTGTTCTCTGACTCAAGGCCTGAATCACTTTAATCTGATGCTGTGGAAAAGACAGATACCTGGGGCTGGAGAGATTGACAAGTCCTGTTCTACGGTGGTGGGATCCTCTTTTAACTAGCTTTGAAACTTTTCCAGTATACAAATGAGCCCCCAACAAATAAAAGGTGAAGGTATCAGTTTAATTTGTACTACTACTATTACCTATTTAGTGTGTTTTTCCTATTTAACCTCCTCACCGGTATTAAATGCCTCCTACTAGAGTGCAACTTTAATAATCAGACGATTTTTATTGCCCCAAAGTAGCAAGTTTTGTACAAGGCTCCCCTCAAAAAATTAGGATAATTTATTTTGGGTGAGATTAGTCTTCTAAGAAAAGTTATTTTCTTTAAGTGATTATTTGAACATAAGTGATTGAGATATTTTGTTAACCCAGGTGTAGCATTAGGAATGCATATGACTCTATTAGTGTGTCTAATGTTGAAATCTGGTCAGTTGTGTCTTCCCAGTGAACATAAAGATATTGTTTGCATAAACTCTAGAAAATAAGGAGCTAAGAAACAGAATTTTTCAGAGAATCTCTATCACTGTCTAAAGAAAATGGCATACTGGCTTGTGTTTGGGGCCATTTCCATCAACTTGTGAAGGATAGAAGGAGTGTTCAATGGTTGATGGATAAGTTGAGCTGACTTTACCTTCCCTAACTTCATGTTTAGCAAACCAATCTTATAATTATAATCTTGTTTTCTCTGTAGATTCTCCTACCACGAAAGTGCTGACTACAGAAAGCTAGCAATTAAAGTTTTGGCAGGTATATTTTTGTGAATGATGAATCAATTGACATTTTCCCAAGCCTGAGCACCACAGGCCATGTATACCAAGTATAATTTCTAGGATTTAACAGCAAATTCTGAATGATCTATAGTGACCTCTTTAGCTTCTGAATCCCAGGTGGCTGCTGGGCTCTCTAGATGAGCTCTTTATCTCCTTCACTATAAATATAAAATAATTAAATGTCAATTTATTCCAAATCTGTTGAAATTCTGGTTACTTGGGGTTAGGTTAATAGGTATAAGCATCCTCATGTCCTTCTGAGTGTCCCTTATTCAATTATTCATGTAATTCATTAATTACCATTATATCCCAGTCATTGAATTAGTTATTGGAAACACAATGATAAATAGAGCATAATCCCTAACCAACCTTGGATCTTAGCCCAGTTTTTAAACTGTATTTTAAACAAACGTTAGTTGTGTTTTAAACAAATAATCATATAACATTATAAGTTCCGTAACAGACTTACAGGAAAAAAGTGTGGTTGGAATGCTTAACTATGCACATAGTAAGGTTGGGAAAGTCTTTCCGTGAGAGGTAACATTCTAGCAGAGTCTGGAAGGCTGGCCAGGAGTTTGCCATGTTGATGGGATAATCAGAAATTATGCAGGCAGAGTGAAGAAGGGCTTCAAATAAATGGTTAGGTCAGGATGGAAGGCAAGGTATCCATAAAAGTTGATTGGGGAACAGAGAAGAGGAAGATGGATGGAGCTGGAAGTAAGTAGGTGTCTTAGTCTGTTTTCTGTTGCTGATAACATAATACCACACACTAGATAAGTCACAAGGAAAAGAGATCTATTTTGGCTCATGGTTATGATCCAAGGTCTTGGGGCTATGTCTAATGATAGCCTTCTTGTTGGTGAAGTCTCAGGGTAGCACAAGGCATCACATGGTGAGAGACGGGGAGCCCATTAGATCCTGAGCCAAACTGACTTTTATAGTTGACCCAATCTTGAAATAACTCATTGATTCTCTAATCACAATTCATTCATGAGAGCAAAGCCCTAATCAACTATTAGAGGTCAACCTTTTAATATCTCATACTGGGAATTAAATTTCAATATGGGTTTCTTGAGGAGAATAAACCATATTAAAACCATAAAGCATGTGTGAGGTGAAGGGCTTTGTATGCACAGACAAGCAGTTAATACTTTTATCCTGTATACTACAAGAGGAGTCTTTGAAAGGTTTGAAAAAATGTTATTTATCACTTCTCATTGTCCTGGTTATATAAGATGGGTCCCACATCAGGATTACCAATTGGCAGACTCTTACTAGGGTCTAGGTGAGGGTTAAGTATTATAACTGAAGCAGTACATTCATGAATGGAAAGAAACAGGTTTCAAGGAAAAGGCAGAAGTGTCAGAGGGATATGAAGAAGTCTTGCATGTTTCCCACATTTCTGATTTGGGGGGCTTGGGATACTATTGATCTCAATAAGGAATAAAGATGAGGTGGGTAGAGAGATGCAAGATTTGTTTTATATTGACTTTGATCTATCTAGGCAAAATTTGAAGCTAAAGAGAGACACCTAGGCTGGAAAGAAATGTTTGGGGATTAAAGAATAGGTAGTAAGTGGAGCCATAAGAATGAATGTTATTGCCCATATGACCTTGTAAAATGAGAAGACGAGAGGGGCAGAGGCAACTCTCTGGAGAGTCTTGACATGTAAGGAGTGAGTGGAGAGTGAGAGGAGCTAATTGATGGATTGTTTAGAATTTTCTCATGTAAAATTGCCCTGATGATAACCACCAAACGTTCTCTTTCCTTCTCATCCCTCTCTCTTTCCTCTCCTCCCTTTCATCTTCTCCTTGTCCTCCACCACTTTTCCTTTCTCCCCTCCTGCCTTTCCTCTTCTTCTTCCATTTTTCTTCTCTAATTTTTGGCTTTTTGTTCCTAAACAAAATCTAGGGACCCTAAAGAAGTATTTTTTTTCTTCCAATCAGTGTTTTTCCATACTCAATTTCAGAATCTTAATATGAGCAAAGCACCATCTACTTGCTTTGCAATTGCTCTGTAACAGTAATGAGTAAGAAAAATTGACATTTATTGAGGATTTTTGATGTCCTATGAATTATCCCATTTGGATCTCCCAAAAATTCTATGGAAGAAATACTCAGTATTCATTTTCATAGAGTGAAACAGGCCCAGAGAGGTTACACAGCCTGCCAAAAGTCACACAGAGAGATGTGGTAGTCAGAGTTAAACCTTTGTTCATGAGCCCAAGGCCAATGTTATATGGCCCTTCCTCATTTCCTGTTTGCTCTTCTGACCAATTCTAGTTCTGTGATGCTCTATCCAGCATTGTTTTAACTCCTTCAAGTCTTAACCTCTTCTGACTCAAGAAAAATTCCTTTCTCAAGTCTCTTTCCAGTGACTTCAATGAGATTTTTTTGACCTCTGGGTTGGTCCAGCATTACAGTCTCTTCCTCAGAACCCCTGTAGCTTTGCCAGTGCAGCCTCAGTTCCTGTGTTACACCCACTGCCTGGTTTTGGATTCTGTTCTTGGTGGTTGATGTTCTCACCGGAGCAGATGACCTCACTCCTGATGAATGATGATTATAATATTAACAAAACATGTTCTTATTGTATGGCAAGCACGTGCCAGCCCATTTTCATCACACAGCCTCTGTGAAGGTGACTTCACAACAACTCCTTTGCATCTAGACTTGGCCCTGCTTGGCCTTCCAGGAGCCTCTGCTGGGTACTTGGCTAAGTTCTGTCTTTTTCCCCTCCACCTGGTGGCTAAGATGTATCTAGTTAAGCCCTCCTGTTTA